GGTGCTCCTATGTTGGGTGCATAAATATTTACAATTTTTATATCTTCTTCTTGGATTGATCCCTTGATCCTTCTGTAGTGTCTTTCTTTTCTCTTATAATAGTCTTTATTTTAAAGTCTATTTTGTCTGATATGAGTATTGCTACCCCAGCTTTCTTTTGATTTCCATTTGCATGGAATATCTTTTTCCATCCCCTCACTTTCAGTCTGTATGTGTCCCCAGGTCTGAAGTGGGTCTCTTGTAGACAGCATATATACAGGTCTTGTTTTTGTATCCATTCAGCCAATCTGTGTCTTTTGGTTGGAGCATTTAATCCATTTATATTTAAGGTAATTATCGATATGTATGTTTCTATTACCATTTTCTTAAATGTTTGGGGTTTGTTATTGTAGGTCTTTTCCTTCTCTTGTGTTTCCTGCCTAGAGAAGTTCCTTTAGCATTTGTTGTAAAGCTGGTTTGGTGGTGCTGAATTCTCTTAGCTTTTGCTTGTCCGTGAAGGTTTTAATTTCTCTGTAGAATCTGAATGAGATCCTTGCTGGGTAGAGTAATCTTGGTTGTAGGTTTTTCCCTTTCATCATTTTAAATATGTACTGCCACACCCTTCTGGCTTGCAGAGTTTCTGCTGAAAGATCAGCTATTAACCTTATGGGGATTCCCTTGTATGTTATTTGTTGTTTTTTCCTTGCTGCTTTTAATATTTTTTCTTTGTATTTAATTTTTGATAGTTTGATTAATATGTGTCTTGGCATGTTTCTCCTTGGATTTATCCTGTGTGGGACTCTCTGTGCTTCCTGGACTACTTGACTATTTCCTTTCCCATATTAGGGAAGTTTTCAACTATAATCTCTTCAAATATTTTCTCAGTCCCTTTTTTTTTCTCTTCTTCTTCTGGGACCCCTATAATTCGAATGTTGGTGCATTTAATGTTGTCCCAGAGGTCTCTGAGGCTGTCCTCAATTCTTTTCATTGTTTTTTCTTTTTTCTGCTCTGCGGTAGTTATTTCCACTATTTTATCTTCCAGGTCACTTATCCGTTCTTCTGCCTCAGTTATTCTGCTATTGGTCCTTCTAGAGAATTTTTAATTTCATTTATTGTGTTGTTCATCATTGTTAGTTTGCTCTTTAGTTCTTCTAGGTCCTTGTTAAATGTTTCTTGTATTTTCATCATTCTGTTTCCAAGATTTTGGATCATCTTTACTATCATTACTCTGAATTCCATTTCAGGTAGACTGCCTATTTCCTCTTCATTTGTTTGGTCTGGTGGGTTTTTACCTTGCTCCTTCACCTGCTGTGTATTTCTCTGTCTTCTCATTTTGCTTAACTTACTGTGTTTGGGGTCTCCTTTTCGCAGGCTGCAGGTTCGTAGTTCCCATTGTTTTTGGTGTCTTCCCCCAGTGGGTAGGGTTGGTTCAGAGGGCTGTGTAGGCTTCCTGGTGGAGGGGTCTGGTGGATGAGGCTGGATCTTGTCTTTCTGATGGGCAGGACTGCGTCTGGTGGTGTGTTTTGGGGTGTCTGTGAACTTATTATGATTTTAGGCAGCCTCTCTCTGCTAATGGGTGGGGTTGTGTTCCTGTCTTGCTAGTTGCTTGGCATGGGGTGTCCAGCACTGGAGCTTGCTGGTTGTTGAGTGGACCTGGGTCTTAGCGTTGAGACAGAGATCTCTGGGAGAACTCTCACCGATTGATATTACGTTGGGCCGGGAGTTCTCTGGGGTACCAGCGTCCTAAACTCGGCTCTCCCACGTCAGAGGCTCAGGCCTGACACCCAGCTGGAGCACCAAGACCATGTCAGCCACACGGCCAGGTACGTGGGGAGTTTCTTGCCTTTTGAGAAGTCTGAGGTCTTCTGCCAGCATTCAGTAGGTGTTCTTTAGGAGTTGTTCCACATGTAGATGTATTTGTGGTGAGGAAGGTGATCTCCATGTCTTACTCCTCCACCATGTTGAAGGTCTCCCCCCACCAGCCCCATACATAGGTTTTTGTGTGAACATGTTTCGTTTTCCCTGGGATAAACGCCCAAGAGCGCCACTGCTGTGTCATATGGCGGTTGGGAGCTTAGATTCATAAGAAACTGCAAAATTGTTTCCCAGAGCGGTGGTATGATTTTGCATCCCCACAGCAATGCACAAGTGATTCTGTTTCTCTGTATCCTCACTGGCATTTGGTGTGGTCACTGTTTTTATTTTGGCCATTCTAATAGGGGTGTAGTGATAGCTTGTTGTGGTTTTGATTTGCGTTTCCCTAATGGCTAATGATGTTGGACAGGTTTTCATGCGCTTATTTTGCCGTCTTTCTATCTGTTTCAGTGAAATGCCTCCATATCTTTTGCCCATGTTCTGATTGGGTTGTTTTCTTTTTCTCCTGTTGAGTTTTTATTTTATTTATTTATTTTTGGCTGCACTGGGTCTTTGTTGCTGCACGCAGGCTTTCTCTAGTTGCGGCGAGCAGGGGCTGCTCTTTGCTGCGGTGGCCGGGCTTCTCATTGCAGTGGCTTCTCCTGTTGCGGAGCACAGGCTCCAGCCCCACAGACCTCAGCAGTTGAGGTACGTGGGCTCAGTAGTTGTGGCTCATGGGCTCTAGAGCACAGGCTAAGTAGTTGTGGCACACGGGCTTAGTTGCTCCGCAGCATGTGGGATCTTCCCGGACCAGGGCTCGAACCCATGTCCCCTGCATTGGCAGGTGGATTCTTAACCACTGCGCCACCAGGGAAGCCCTGTACATGTTCTCTTAAGTGAATACCTAAGTATTTAATTTTCTTTGTGGTCATCATAAATAATATTGTTTTTAATATCAGTTTCCACGTGTTCCTTGTTAGCATGAACATTGTTAGCACAAATGTGATTGATTTTTGTGTGTTGAACGTGATTGATTTTTGTGTGTTGATCTTGTATCCTGTAACCTTGGCTGCACTAATTAGTCCTAGTTTTGGTGTTTTGGGATTTGTTTGTTTGTTTATCTAGTAGATTCCTTGGGACTTTCTATGAAGACAACCATGTCATCTGCAAATAGGGATGGTTTTATTTCTTCCTTTGCAATTTGTATGCCTTTAATTTTTTTTTCTTCCCTTGTTGCAGTGGCTAGAACTTCTAGTACTGTGTTGATTAAGAACAGTGTGAAAGCACACATCCTTGCCTTGTTCCTGAACTTAAGAGAGAAAGCATTCAGTCTTTTGCTGTTAAGCATGACACAGCTGAGCATTTTTACCACCATGTCTTACAAAATTAGTTCTGTCTTCTTTTCCTCCCCCCACATTTTTTAAGGCAAAGATTAAGACTTAGGGATTGGCAGGACTTCCCTGGTGACCCATTGGTTAAGACTCCATGCTCCCAATGTAGGGGGCATGGGTTTGACCCCTGGTTGGGGAACTAAGATCCCTCATGCCACATGGCGTGACTAAAAAAAAAAAGACTTGGGTATTGGCCCAACTGAGATGACAGAGCAGAAAGAAAGCATAAAGGAAATTTAAGTACTTCCTCCTCCAGGCTAGGCTTGCAAGAGTGACAGAACCAAGTTCCTTTGGTGGGGGCGGGACTTCACAGCCTTAATCAGCGCTGGGGAGCTAATCTCTTTATCAGGGCCCTTGCACTCTGCAGTGAGCTAAGGGCCCCCTGCACCTGGGGCAGTCATTGCCTGTAACACAGGAGAGCCTCACGGAATGGGGTGCCTGTCCCCTCTCTGGTTACCCTGCTCTTCCAGGAAGCTCTCGGCTGCCAGCCTCGCTGCCTGCCAACCTGAGTTGGCGATTGGAGAGTCTCAGATACCCAGATCCAGGGTGACAGGAGTGGCCAGGGCCAGATTTAGATTTGTATGTGCTTCTGGCAGTGGCTCCCCAAAAAAGAGAATGGGCTATGAAGAGAGGAAGCACGTTAAAGAGTTCCATGGTGGGTAAAACTGATAGCGACACAGTGCATCTACAGTACGTATATTCCACAGAACAAAATTTTTATTAGGCGAAAGGGATGGGCAATTTAGTCTAAACTTTATAAAGAAAAGCAAGCAATCACTCCCTCACCCACTCCCCTCCACCCCGACCCCCGCCTTGGGGGTCATCTCCCCCTGGAGTCCTGCAGCCTCCATTCCCCTCTCCCTGGCACGTCGCTCCGCCCACCCCGCCCCCACCTGGCAGCGCTCCCCTCGTGCCCCACCCCCCGGGCTGGCCGAGACCACACCTGCGCAGGTTAAACCTGCAGGGACGCGCTGCCGTGGGTGGCGGGGGAAGGTGAGCGGATGTGAGCGGTGGGATGGGAGGACGAGGCAAGGATGAGAAAACGGGCCTCTGCTAATGGCCGGTCGGCGGCCCTGGCGGGAAGGAGGGATGCGGCCAGAAGGGCGCCCCGGCCGCCCTCGAGCGAGCCAGCCCCTGGCTCCTCGGGGTCCTAGTCCCACGGTTCCATCTCGCCGGTCCATACCAACGCGCGAGGCGCCAGGGGGAGGCCGGGAGCGGGCCGTTCCACTCGGGGAGGGCGGCAGGTTAGGCCGCGGCCCGCGCCACCTGCGGCTTGGGGCGGGGGTGGGCCGGAGGCTGGGCCGCACCGCCCGTTCTGTGCAGAGCGGGCGGGCCGGGCCGCGCCGCGCCGCGCCGCCCCCCGCCCCGCCAGCCGCCCGGGAGGCCCCTCCTCCCAGCGACCCGGCGCGGAGCTAGGCCGGAGCGCTCCGCGGAGCCGCAGAGACCGCCTCCGTGCCCCCGCCCCACCACACACGCTCCCCGCCCGCCTCCCTGCGCCTCCCCCCAGTCCCCCTCGTCCCGCCCCCGCGCCCCCAACCGCTCGCCGGCCTGCACCCGCCCCCTGGCCGCTCGCCCCTCGGCCCCGCCCCCCGCGTTCGCACCACCGCCGGCCCCCGGCCCTCCGGCCCCCCGCGGCCTGCGCCGCGCCCCTGTATCCCCGGCACCCCCGCCCTCCGCCCCCGCGCGCCACCCCCCCCGCGTCCCCGCGCCCCCGCCCGCGCGGCCGGGGACGAGCGCGGCCGAGCGCATGCTGATCCCTGTCCTGCTCCTCCTCAGGCGGCGCTGGCGGCGGCCCCGGGACCCGCGGAAGCCGGCATGCTGGAGAAATTCGAGTTGGAAGAAGAAGGTGAGTGCCCCCCGCTGGAACGCGCTTCCGTGTCTACGCCGGGGGCCCGGAGGGGCCGGGGCGCGGGGACAGACGGGGTTCACGCCCCGGAGGCCGCGGGACCCAGCCGCCCACCGCCCGTCCGGCTTCGGGCGGCGCGCCCTGCGGGGGCTGGCGGTGGAGACGCGGAGCCGGCAGAGCGTGTCTGCAGTGGCCGCGGGTGCCTTTCGGTGGCGAAATCTTGCTGGGTTCTAAGGGGAGCCCGCAACCCGGCCATCCACACGGATGGTCGGTCCTTTTGTCCTTACAAGCCGAACTGGAATGAGAGCAGGGTGACGTGCAGTAGTAATTGTTTGTAATGCCACCATACATGTAGGGGTAACCCCCAGATTATGCCTATGGTCCGTACCTTTAAATAACACACAGTGGTTCCCTTATCTGTACTTGTGAAAATACCACCAGCAGGGTGTGTCTTCTTGTCTTGATAGGGAAAGTTCAATAGGAAAAGCGGTGGCGGCTTAGCGAATTGGTTTTGAGTTCAGGTGATCCTGTCATTCCATCGTTCCTGTCTTCTCTTCGCTCACTCGGTATTTTTCCTTTTCCTGCCCCGTTTTCTTCTTCTTACCTGGATCTTATTTTGAAGCTGTTGAAATGTGGGGGGATGAGTTTGTTCTTTGGCAAAATGAATATTTAACGTGGGACTGTGATGAGCTTTCACCTGGATCTTATGTTGAAACTGTTAAAATTTGAAGGGGATGAGCTTGTTCTTTGGCAGAATTAGTATTGAAAATGAGATATGATGAGTTCACAGTCTAAAGAGAACTTTGTATAAGATGCTTGACAATGTGAGGAATTTAAAAGACCTCCACACTATCTTGTGTTTTTCCGTTATTCGTTTAGTGAGTTCTCTTTTTTCCAAGAGTATTGATGGAATAAAGCCCCTGGAACAAAGCATGTGCCATGTGGATGCTGTGCCCTCTGCCAACTTTACTTTAATGCTTCTGTTTATTTACAGTCAGGCAGTTCCTTAAATAAGCGCAACCACTATGAGAACGTTAAGCCGACAGCATCAGGCCGGTGCCTACGTTTATTTTATGTTTTAGAGTTCCCGCATTTCACAGACATGTTAGCCAGAAGATAACGTGTTCATAGTAATGATCATTAAAAGTCTGCCGCCATATTTATTATTAACAAGCAGTTACATGATACATTGCAGAATTTGACTAGGGCTTAATTTGCACTCTGTCCTACTGAAAAATAATCCAGCGTGTTCAATCGAATCCACCTCATTATTCCGTGATTTTATTATATTGCAGGTCAAACTTGGGGCACTGTCCACGGGGCAGTATGGTGTGCCCCCCCTTTCGTTAAGACTCTGAATATCTAAATCATAGAGTTTTCTTTGTCCCTGATTTCAGTAACAATGAGACTCCATCGCATTTAATCATTTTGAGATTCACATGGGGGCAAAGGAAAGTAGAGAGCAGATGCTATTGGAGAGGTGCCATAGTTATGGTTTAGAGCATAGGCCCAGCTTCAGACCGTATCTTACCTTCTTATTAAGCTGTGTGACCTTGGACAAGTTACTTAACCTCCCTGTGCCTTAGTTTTCCCATTCATAAGGTGGAGCTAATATCGGGGGTGTTTTGAGGATTAAATGAGATAATCCATGTAATGGTATTTAGTACAATGTAAATCCACAGTAAGCACTTAGTACATGTTAGTTACTGTTACTGTTTAAGTGCCATCTACCATTGTACTGAACTCATGGACTTTTTAAGCTTTTTATTAATGAATCGTCCGTAGAGATTTTTCTCAGTACAGGTTTGATGGAGTTTTTTTCCTTACTTGAGATTTATTAATTCAATTATATTGCATTTCTCAAAGCAGATATTTGAGAAATATCTCTATGCCTTATTTCTTTTGCATTGTTTCTGCCAAGGGAATGAGTATAAAATACTAAACCTAAGCGTCTAAGACAAGGAATTTCCCGTTTTCACCCATCTGTTTTTATCGATGTTGCTGTCATTACTCTAAAGCGTACTGAATCCCACAAATAACCCTGTCAGATTTTTCCAGATTCTTAAGGAGGCACAATGTCAAAAAGCAGTTGCTTGGAAGCTGTTAGCCAAGCCTGAAGGGGTAGTGTTGGCGTGGTTGTCTAAAGTGCTGCTTTGTTCCTTTTGAACTTTAGATTGCTTATTCATCCAAAATACGGAAAAACTGACTATCAAGCAGAATCTTACATTTATTCGGGGGAACAATGCGTCCTAACAGTAGGACGTTACACCTTTAAATAGTATCCTGTGAGCTGATGTGTTAGCAGCCTACATAATACTGATACCTAGCTGTTGAATAGGTCCTCATTTAATCTTCCAGCTTCCTTCTTATTCACGCGGTGTCATCATTTGTGCATTGCGATCTGGACGCTTTCCTTAGATGGGGATGTAGTTGGTATACATGGAAACACGTGATTGCTAATATTTTTGTTACCAAGTCTTTGCCTATTTCCTAATAAATTCTAACAGATACTCTGTGCGTTAGAAAGGCATTAGTGAAGTTGGCGTAATCTCTTAAAACGTTAATTTGCTTCTGGGACGAAAGAAGAAATGGTGCCTCTGTCTCCCATGTGTTGTCCAGGTCCTCTTTTGTCTAGGTTCTGACACCAAGTGCCCACCCACTTCTTCCTACCATCGCACCCTGACAGAGGGACCTTTCCAGAGCGTGAGCTGACAGCACCCCTCCTTTACGGGAAAATCTTTACCACTTTCCTGGGTCTGTGTATAGAATACATGCAGACTTCTCTTCATCTGCAGCCTCACCGCCTCATCCCGGCCGTACACACCAATGATCGGAGAGCTTTCTGTGCATAAGCCCTGCCAGAGAGCTTTTTAAAAGGCAGAGTCTAGTTCTGTGGGTCTGGGGTGGAACCTGGGAGTCTGCATTTCTGCTCAGCTCCCAAGTGCTGCTGCTGCTGCTGCTTCACAGACCCTGTGCTGAATAATGAGGCTCTAGAACGGGCACGGGCAAACTTCTTCTGTAGAGGGCCAGATGGTCTCGGTCTCCGTCCCTGTCAAGACTGCTCAGCCTGCCCGTGCAGCAGCAAAGCAGCAACGCGGTCCAAGTGGCAGGGCTGCGTTCCAGTCAAACTTTATTTACAGAAAGAGGCCAGGTTTGGCCCACAAGCAGAGTTAGCCAGACCCCTGTTCTGTGACCCTTCATGGTCTCGGTGCCTGAGGGTTTACATCCTTTGGAGGGTAAGTCCTTCTCTTGCTCCCTTTTTCCACCTGCCAACCTTCCTACATCACGGCTCAGCCCAAGTCTCACCCTCTCCGAGGCCGCTCCCTAAAGCCCTTCTGTGCTTCTCCATAATCCATCTTTCTCTTCCCAGCAGGCGATACGGCGGCACTTCGTCGGTGCTCAGCGGCGTTTTGGTATCTCAGTGACTACATTCAGCGTTTATGTTTCCTTTGTGGGAACGATGGGAGGATGAAGTGATTCGGTATCTGCAAAGTGATGCGAGCAGTGCCAGCCCGTAGCAGTCACTTTATGTGTTTGCGTTTCGAGTGGTTAATTATATCAGCCACACCTGTTTGTTTTTATCAAGATTAACCGTCTTGAACTTATTTAACCACAGGGCCCAGCACCTTCGTAAGCACCTAAACGCAGCCCGTGAGTGCCTTCTCAAGTCGATGAGTATTCAGAAACTTATTCATGATTAATAACTCTGTAATTCTGGCACTACCTCAAGAACTTTACAGCCCCTGGGAACCACCTGCGTTATCGCTGCCGCCTTGTCATTCCAGCTGTCGCAGACTCTCCGGTTTCTTCGGGCTTTCAGCAAGTCGCTTCTTCCCAGTCACCTGTCCCCTCTCCCCTCACCACCTGCCCGCTTCCTTCAGTCCAGGCGGTCCTTTCTGTCCGAGCTGTTCCTTCCTCACCTGCAAGGCATTTCCCAAAGGATAAGCTTTTCAGAACTTGCCTCCAAACTTATTTTCCTAGCAAGATTGGTCAAGCTAGTCTGCACGATCAAAAATAGGGAAGAAGTGGGGGCACAAGTACAAGCGAGGGGAAAGCATTATTTTTCAGTCAAGGATCTTGGAATCGTAGGCCCAGTTCTGTAATGAAGTAGCTGTATTCTTGAATCATCCTCCTCTCTTGGGGCGTTGCTTGCTTGTTCTGTTGTCATTGTGGGTTTTCTCGGTAGACCAAAGCCCAGCATTGGTGAACTTGTACTTTTCCTTCCAGCTTGAAAATATGACCTAAAGCGACCAGCAACCGCTCTACAATAAACCAGAAACGTGCATTCACTGTAACTTGTTCATTCTCAACTGGGGACATTGCCCTGAAGTGAGCAAAGATTGGTTCTTGTTGGGGGACAAAAAATCTTAGCTATTACAGTGGTTTCTGGCTCTCCAAAGGGCCCCCAAATGGATATACAATGTATCTGTGGTATTAAAGTTTCATGGGGGTAGGACAGTTGAGGGGGGAATGTATAGAAAGGCTGGGGGGGGTGGATAATGAAAACAAGTTTGAGAAACACTGCCCTAACTTACTTAAGGGAGAATGTCTTCCTGTGAATTTGTGGAACCTTTTAAAGTGTCCCCTTATCACTTAGCTTTGATAAGTGAGGCTCAGCTGGGTCCACTTGGCTTATTGACTGTCCTGTGAGGGGTGCTGACCTCTGGTGGTGACAAGGTTTGTGATGGCAGCTTGGTTGCTGGCCGATCGTCTCGTAGTATTAAAGGCTCTGATAATCTATCTTCCAGACTCTTTCCTTCCCTGCTGAGCCTGCATACTTACCTTAGAGAAGAGGTTTATTGTTTCTTGTTTAAAAACATAGTTACAGCTTTATGACATGTTTACAATTAAACGTTTTCTGCTCCGGCTGACCCCGTGTTTGAAAGCTTGCCATTTTCACAGACTTTAGGTTCATGTTTTAAAGTCAGGCTTCACATTTGATGGTATCTTAGATTTGATAAGACAGAGTAGTTGTTTTATAGGCTGCGGAGGTTTTGTTA